ATACAGATTTGTAGACAAAGAATTTTCTATGTTTAATTATTTTGGCAATATGTAACGCACACAATAATTATTCAATTCAGGCGATCAAACAAAAAAAAATAGAAAACTTGGTATCCATTTGATTTTTGGCCGGTAAAAATAGAGGTAGTTGGGCAAAGATGACAACTAACTCAAGTAAAAAAGTAAATAATAAAAAAGAAAATAGTAAACGACACACGAAAATCAAGTTAATATAAAAATACAACACGTCAGTCGGTACTTGCACATAGTACAATATCTACAGCAAAAGGTACAAGTGTGGAAAGTCCTGAACATAGAATTATTTACCAGTACTCTTAATTAAAATGATACTAAAAAGCACCTAGTGAGAACCCTGGCTTATTAAAGTTCATCTAAATAGCATTAAGATTTAAATAACTTGCAATATTCAAGTCACGAACACATCTGTTAACATTCAGTTCAGGCATTGTTTTCTTATTTTTTTCTTCAAATTCAAGATCTAGTGGAGAATCTCTTGTAGAATTGAACATATTTTGTTAGTTTTAAACTTTTTATGTGAGGCTTGGATCAGTTTGCTGTGGAGCAAAAAAATCCAAGAAAACGTTGATTTCAAGATGAAGTTGTGTGTTCATAAACTGCTAAAAGCTTCATTTCTCGAAATTTCAAAAGTTGTAATAGGGAAAGTCGTTTTTAAAACGCATGGATAAAAAAACTAAAGAAAAAGAAACAATCTTGACAACATTCTAAAGTACAAAAAGATCAACGTTTCAAAGTAAAAGTTTGCTTGATCATATACTCATCATTACCATGCTTATTCCAAAACTCTCTCTACTCCATTCCATTCCATCTCACAAAATATACATTTTCTTGGATTTTTGCATTAATCTTGTAAGAATATTGTTTATCAATTCATGAAGCTGTGCGGCATTTTACAAGTTACATAGGCAACGGACGTGTAGGAGTCATATCAACATATCTACTAAACCACTACATTTGTTTTACTTTTCTTAATTTGAATAGACGCTTCATGCATGCTATATGGAAAACTCAAAAAATGACATCTTTGTTGGTTTTGTTGTTATGTCACATAATACCAAGCAGACACTACTATTGAGGAGTCGGATAACTTTTGAGAAGAACTTTGCACACTGCCTAATTTTTTAACATTGCTTTTTTAGGCGAGAGACTTGTAGGAGTCATATCAATCTACCATATGACATTTGCATACCAGAAGCAATGTCCAAAAATGTATAAAGCTCATAAAGCTCTTCTCAAGTTGTCTGAATCTCCAAAAACAAGAGTTGACATAGAGATCCTTGAATATCTCCAGACCAAACGATTTCCAGATTTCCTAGAAAGATCCACACACCGGTCCAAGATAATAACTGGTGAACTATATCGCACTGCCAAAATCAGAAGATAACAAATCGTCAGTTTTGAGACTAATTCAGAATTATGTTTATCCATGCACGTTTTTTTTTTTTTTTTTTGGTTTTAGAATAAGTCACAGTTTGTTTTAAAGCTTTTTTTTTCCATTTTTACCCTTCCTGTGATTCACTAAATCTGTCCCCTGTTTATTACTTTGTCAAAAGACCATTTTATCCCTGCAAAAGACATCAATCTCGTGAAGAGATGATAGGAAACAATGGAAATGGTGAAAAGGATGGAATGGTCACTCTGCATTATCCAATGCTGTCAAGGTCAAATTATGCTGCTTGGGCAATCAAAATGACGGTATTTATGCAGGCTCAAGGTGTTTGGGATGCTGTTGAACCCAGAACAACAAATACAATGGTAGAAGTAAAGAAGGATAAATTGGCTTTGGCAGCCATTTATCAAGGAATACCTGAGGACTTGTTGTTGTCATTGGCTGAGAAGAAAACAGCCGAGGAAGCTTGGGATGCCTTGAAGACCATGTTTATGGGAGCAGACAGGGTGAAGACTACAAGGATTCAAACTTTGAAGTCTGAGTTTGAATCACTAAACATGAAGGAAACTGAAGGAGTAGATGAGTTTGTTGTGAAAGTGACAAACATTGTGAGTACTGTGCGTACCGTGGGAGATACTATAGATGAATCCTATGTGGTGAAGAAGCTACTTAGGGCAGTACCATCCAAGTTCCTTCAGATAGCATCAACCCTTGAACAGTTTGCTGACCTGGATGAAATGACAGTAAAAGAAGTGATTGGCAGGCTTAAAGCTCATGAAGAGAGAATGAAGGGGTATGGTGATATAGAGGAGAGAAGACTACTCTTGAGCCACCAAGAGTGGACTGAAAGAAACAAGAAGAAAGGAGAAGGCAGTTCAAAGTCAGTCCCAAAAGGCAACCGTGGTGGGTCATCACGAGGAAGAGGAAGAGGTCGGAGCAGGGGTGGTCCAAGTGACCGTCGAGGCGGTCGAGGCAGGGGTGGTTCTAACCAACAAAAAGAGAGAAGCCAAAGTCAAGATAAAAGTGAAATACAATGTTACAATCGTCAAGAGTTCGGGCACTATGTAGCTGAGTGCAAGAACCCAAGGAAAGAAAGAAATCATGAAAGCAATTTGATCCAGGAAGATGATGAACCAGCCCTGTTATTGTCATCCTTTGAGGCTAAAGAAGAGACAGAGGAAGTTTTTTTGAATGAAGAAAAGGTCAACCCGAAGCTGAAATCGAAAGGTGATGTTGTGACCAACTCAAACATGTGGTATCTGGACACAGGGGCCAGCAACCATATGACTGGAGAGAGAAGCAAATTCCAAGAACTAGACACCACGATCCAGGGGTCTGTAAAGTTTGGTAACAACTCAGAAGTCAGAATTGAAGGTAAGGGTATGATTACTTTCCAATGCAAAAATGGTGAGCAAAGAAGATTAAGAGAGGTATAGTATATACCGGAGTTGTGTAGTAATATTATAAGCCTTGGCCAACTTTCCACGAGGTGAGTTTTCTCACTATACTGTACCCGGAAGGGTTTTTATTGTGTGACCGGAAGGTCGGATATGTTATGAGTTATATGCATTGTATATGATAAGTTAATCGTTTATATGTGCTATGTATCATATGCTTGATATGGACCGGAAGGCATTATGTTATGGGCCGAAAGGCATTATGTTATGGGCCGGAAGGCGTTGTGATGTGGACCGTAAGGTTGACGCAGGTAGGACCGGAAGGTTTACCGAGTCAGGACGGAAGTCCCGTGAGACACATGGACCGGAAGGTCAGGGCCTGGAAAGGCGTATGTGCGTAAGTAGTATTTTGGGGAACTCACTAAGCATTTATGCTTACAGTTGTTGTGTTATGTGTTTCAGGTACTAGCGAGGACCGTGGGAAGGCGCCGGCGTGATTGTACACACTGACGGAGGAACTGTTTTTATGATCATGGGATGTATTTTGTTATGATAACATTGTTACACATTTGAATTTCGGAATATTAAAGGATGGTTTTGATGTTTGCAAAAATGAAAAAAATTGTTTTAAAATTTACGTTGTTACGGGTGGTAGCTTTATACCTCAATCTTGCAGTCACAACACTAGGAGGACAGGATCTACAAGCTCTTTCTTGATCCAAGCTCTCAACTCTTCAAGAAATACTCCAACCCACTCTCTTTTAGCTTTACATACTAAAAAATGGAGGCTAACTCGCTATTAGGGTTTCTCTAGATGTGAAAGTGACAAGGGAGGCAGAGGAGGAGAGTTAAGGACCTTTAAATAGGGTACAAACCTTAAATTTTAGGGTTTTCACTTTCCAGTACCAACTTGTCGAGTCACTCCTTCGACTCGGCGAGTTGGTCCCTTAAACACGTGGCCACAACTCGCTCCTACTCGTCGACTCGGGACACCCACTCGTCGAGTAGGCTTCCTTTTGCACATAATTCTCAAAAATATCTCTTCTGGAAATTAGGATGTTACACATCCTTTTAGACATTCTAAGATGTCTTGAGTCATAAAAATGATAGTTTGGCCATTTCCTTTCTTCCATGCAAGAGTTGGGGGGGGGGGGGGGGGGGGGG